TTTTGTATGTGGATTATGTGTGTATGTGTGTGATGCTGGGAATTAAACCCAGTGTAAGACAAAACCTCTATATCACTGAGCCACCTTCCCAGCCCCAAAATTTCAATCCATTCTCAGGATGCTTATTTGCTGGACTTCACATGTTTTATATGATTTTTGCCCTGCACAATGTAGAACCAAATATGAAATTGCTACCCAGGTAGGCAACAAAATCCATAATGATCAGATGACCCCAATAGATCTACTGAATATGGAGGCCAGGGAGCGGTGGGCGGTGATAGGGAAGGGAAGTCGCTTCGTAGACAACCTAAGAGAACAGATGTCCCATTCCTCAGTGCTGTCAGCAGTGTCCTTCCTCCAGCTCTGTGTGTGTGTGCGTGTGTGTGTGCATGCATGCGTGCGTGCGTGTGTGTGTGTGTGTGTGTGTGTGTGTGTGTGTGTGAAGAAACCAACTCTTGGCCTGGTGCTCTTGCTCAATTTTATTTCACATGACTAGCACTCTACCATTTGATCCACACCTCTACTTCTGGCTTTTTTTTTCTGATTACTTGCAGACAAGAGTCTCTCAGGTTGTTTCCTGGTTCATTGAGGATAAGAGTCTTCAGATTTATCTGCCCCCTGTGTGTGCTCAGATCACAGCCTCCTGAGTAGATAGTATCACAGGAATAACCCCAGGCACTTGGCTTACTACCAGCTATTTTATCTACGTTTCTCCCCTGACTTTCTTTTTTTTTTCTTTTAGATCAAGCAATACACCCATCTCCAATGATAACCCCTAACCTCTAGTCAAAACTTAACCAGTTTCCCATTAAATTTTTTAAAAGACAATTAGAAACACAAGTAGCAATATATCTGTGTATCTGTGTGTGTGTGTGTGAGAGAGAGAGAGAGACAGAGAGAGACAGAGAGAGAGAGAGAGAGAGAAAGAATGTAACATATTGGTTGGTGGGAGACCTGCATCTCTCATATATCCAGTTCCTAGTTCTTTTGTCAGATTCTTTTTTTTTTGTCTTTTATTTTATTTTTTTTTGGGGGGGGGTCTGGTCATGGGGCCTGAACTCTGGGCCTGGGTGCTATCCCTCAGCTCTTCAGCTCAAGGCTAGCACTTTACCACTTGAGCCACAGCAACACTTCCGGCTTTTTCTGCTTATGTGGTGCTGAGGAATCGACCCAGGGTCTCATGCATGCAAGACAAGTGCTCTACCACTGAGCCACCTTCCCAGCCCTGTCAGATTCTTTTTGTTGTAGTTGCTGTCCTTCTTTTGGGGGTTTTTGTTTGTTTGTTTGCTTTTTGGCAGTTCTGGAATTTGAACTCAGGGTTTCCTACTCACTAGGCAGTTGCTCTTAACATTTGAGCCACAGGCCCAGGCCTGGCAGATTCTTTCCTACTTTGCCTTACACCTCTGTATTTTCCTCGTATGTCACCTCAAATACCTTCAATCCACCCCAATACTGATACTTTGTGTTTTAGATTGTCCCTGAAACATACTGCAATACTGTCAGTTAAGAGTAAGGGACAGACATTCTACTCCAGCATGGTCCCACAAACAAAACCAAATTTGGAGCAGCTTATTCTTACAAATTCTCAGGCCATTTTCATGGCCTATGGAGCACTGACATGCTCACACAGCCGCGGATGGCATTCTTGGTTATTTCCACCTAGAACCTTTTTTGACACCATTTACAAAGACCAAATGTAGGCCTGCAATCCCACTCTTGAGCATATGCATAATAGAAATATGTTTTCCCCCAAGAGATATGCAGAAAATGTGAATAGCCTCAGTCATCTTAATAGTCACAAAGTGAAATCCATTCAAATAGCTGTCAAAAATAGAATAGACTATAAATGGGTGAATGAGACATGGAAATAAATGCAACTATAAACAACATGGATAGATCACACAAACATCACTGAATGGCAGAAGCCTGGCGCAAGAGGATATATGCCATAGGCTTCCACTTTTAGAAAGTTCAAAATAGCCCACATTAATTCAGTGTTAGAAATCATTAATGACTCCTAGATTAGTGACCTGAATAGTGAGAATAGCTTCTGGAATCTTGCAATGTATCACTTCTTGATCTACATCTAGTGTGACAGCTATCTTTGAATATTAGTCAAGCTATATGCTCATTGTCTGGGAACTTTCTTGTGTGGCTGTGTGGGTCCTAGGACTTGAACTCAGGGCCTGGGCACTGTCCCTGAGCTTTTCTACTCAAGGCTAATGCTCTACCACTTTGAGCCACGCCTCTACTTCTAGTTTTTGGTAGTTAATGGGACGTAAGGGTCTCACAGACTTTCCTGCCCTGGCTGACTTTGAACCATAATCCTCAGATCTCAGCCTCCTGAAAAGCTAGGATTACAAGTATGAATTACCTGCACCTGGATATTTGGGGAACTTTTATGTTTTTAATTTTTCTCAATGTTTATTCTTTTACTGGCAGCCAATCCTAGGGCCCGTGTAGGTTAAGTAAATGCTCTACCCTTGTGCTACATTCCCAACCTTGTATGCTTTGTTAAGACTTGTTACAAAGCATAGCTTCAATCTAGAAGTTTATAACTACCTATTAAAAGAAAAAAAAACTTTTCTTAGGCTAGTTACTACGTGTGAGTCAAGAGTCAGCAGTCATGGTAGCCCTCTAACCTTTTTCTTCTCAGACCTAGCTTCCCTGGGGAAGTTTTTGCTTTGCTTTCTCCTAGTACCAGTCCTTTGGAAATAACCTGAGTTAATATAAGTTTGAATGTGGGACAACATGCCAGACATGTGTGTACATTGTGAAGCCTTTAATCCATTGGACAACATGACGGGGATTCATGAACTGTAAGATTTTCTGATGGGTATAAAACCAACACAGACAGGAGATTCTTGACATGAAGGTGGACCCTTCATAGCATGGCCTCATCACTATCAAACACGCACAATCTCCAGGCAGGTGAGGAAGAAGTCGGGCCATTTCATGCCCATAGAAACTGGACAAGCCTTAAAAGAGACTGGGCAAGCTTCCATCGAGAGTGAAGGCTGTGCATGCTCCATTTCCTGCCCTACAATGCGGAGCAACCGTAGTGCTAGATTATATCTATCTTGTGAATTTGCTTGTCAGACCAAATGTATTACCAGTGTGATAATGGAACCATGTCCTAGCCTCCAATAAAATGTCTACTTAAGAAAAAATTCCTTTGGCTACTCTTGGCAAAAGACTATTTGCACTGATCATATCTTCTGCATGGTCTCCAAGTTCTTTCCATTTTGGGCTCCTCCTCCCCATTGACTTCCTGTTGTCTCTTTTTTAGGACTCTTTACCCAGTTCCTAAACCTCCAGTTAATTTCCTAGGCAAAACTACTTAAAGTGGCACTATCTCACTTCAAACCATTCACAGAGCCCTCATGTCAGTAACAAATATTGAGACTGGTTGCAAAACACAGTCCCACCCAGGAGAAATAATGTGAATACTTCTTAAATATAGGCAGCCAAAGATTTATCTTTATCCACAAATTATCTGGCATTTTAGTTACCTAAGACCTAGCTCCATTTGTTCTTTTTTTTGGGGGGGGGGAAGTCCGGTCGTGGGTCCTAAACTCTGGGCCTGGGCGCTGTCCCTCAGCTCAAGGCTCAAGGCTCAAGTCTAGCGCTCTACCACTTGAGCCACAGCGCCACTTCTGGCTTTTTCTTTTTGCTTATGTGGTGCTGAGGAATCAAACCCAGGGCCTCAGGCATCCAAGGCAAGCGCTCTACCACTGAGCTACCTTCCCAGCCCTGCTCCATTTGTTCTTATCCCGAGTCTTCTCCTATTTGAAACTTTCCTGAGGTGTTAAATCAAAAGGAATAGAGCTTGCCCAAAACTACCAATGGTCAGTCACTCTTAGCTAAGAATGGCTTGTCTCTGGGTGTCATTCATTTCTCTGTACTGTACCTGTAATTGGTGTTAGATTTTTTGGGGGGGTCCAGTCGTGGGGCCTGAACTCTGGGCCTGGGCTCTGTCCCTGAGCTCTTCAGCTCAAGGCTAGCGCTCTACCACTTGAGCCACAGCGCCACTTCCGACTTTTTTTCTTTTTGCTTATGTGGTGCTGAGGAATGGAACCCAGGGCCTCATGCATGCAAGGCAAGCGCTCTACCACTGAGCCACCTTCCCAGTCCGGTGTTAGATTTTTCAGTGTTCATTTTGGTTGTTTTGGGGAGGGTTGTTATTGTCTTTCTGTCACTCTTCATCAGGGAGAAGGCTCAGGAAAAGAGATGTGACAGTCTCTGAAAGGTGTCAGCAGCTCAGGACCTATGAAAATCATAGAACATATTCTCCCAGAACCATCATAAACTATGAGACAATACACAAATAGAAGATCCTTATTGTCAATGCTGACTGTAAATACATGTGTGCTTTCTGCACATCTTCCTACAGTTCTTCTGAAGTCCTCAGGATGTCAGATTCAGTCATGAATTGTTCCAATAATCAGTACATGAGAAACTATGAGTTGAGACTCCGCATTTCTAGACTTCAAAAATAACAGTACTTAATGACACATTTGGATATTTTATTTCATCTTTTTTTGGAAAAAAAACAAGTATTTTACAGAAAATGAGGCACTTAGTCTGGCAAAATGAAGCTTCTTTTGTAATCCAATATTATATACGCAAAGGGTAAAGTCTTAGAACTGAAAATCAGGTCATGAATATAACAACAGGTACCACTGAAAAGAAATCTGAGTCCACAGCTATATTTCCCTGAATATGCACAAATGTTATCAAAAGGGAAATTGGCTTAAGTTCTATTATTGTTTTAAAAACTGGAATGCAAAAAAATGTGTCCAAACTAATTAGATATGTGCAAAAGATTTTTAAAATAATACAGGGGTATTATAAAAGACATTTCCATGCCAAGAAAAATACAACGAAATACTTATTTTCAAAAGAATAAAAGACATCTCCTGAATGTTCATATTCATGTGATTCCTAAAGGTATGTTTTCTATAAAGATCTATTCAGCACAAAGACATGAAATTCTGCGAAGGCTTTTTTAATTCCACAAGTTGGCAGAATCTACTGGTGTCTTCTATGCATAGATCTCTGAAGAAAGGAATGTCAATTAGTTCTCTTTAAGAAAGAAATTTCCTTGGTCTAGTGAAAAGTCAACTTTCCTACTCTTAATATTCTCAAGGCTATTTTCATGAAGAGCAGCCACTGGAAAGGCTAGCTTGCAGTTTTTCTCCTTTCTTCACACATAGAACATAAAAGGTATTTCAGAGGAGAATTCGAAGCCCACCTCATACCACTGAAAAACTACTGTCTGAATATTCGTAAAACAGTTTGAAATTGTGCTCTTTGCACTGGGTCAGAGAGTTCCCCAGGGATGACTCCACCCATGATCTTCTCTTGTGGCAATCCGACCAGGTAATCCTCCAGTTGGCTTTCCGTTCCAAGTCACCAGGTTTCTGCAATCTCTGCGAGAACCTGCAGCAGCTCAGCAAATGTCGGACGGCCTTCAGGGTTCTGGAAAAGGGAAAGTGGAGGTGATCAGCTGTGCAGCACTTAGATGCTAGAGGTGGTACTTGCAGTCAGAGACTCAGTTCCAAATTGCTTCTCCACAAAGGGAAGGAAAAGGCATCTTGACAAGGCGTAAGTGTAAAAATCTAAGAGTAAAATACAATAATAAAAGTAGCCAGAGTGCACGAACTAACCAAGTGTGTCTATTTTATTTGGGAGCTGGCTGCCCAGGCAGGCTTTGAGCTCGGATCCTCAGATCTCAGCCTTCTGAGTAGCTAGGATTACAGGCATGAGCCACCAGTACCTGGCTCCATATTTAGATGAATTAAAATTACACAAATGTGTAAGTTCCATTCTTCAGCTACACCAACCCACGTTTTAAGTCCTCCACAGCCGGGGGCTCGCATACTGGGACAGCACAGATACACAACTTTTCTATCTTTGCAGGAAATTCCAGTGGATTTCACCACTCTGGAGATCTATCTGGATGATTTTGACATGTATGAGGTCAAGGAAGAAGCTGGGAGACAGCAAGGATTTAGAGATAAGCCCCTAAGCTCATCTCCAGATATTTACTAGGCCTGACTCCCTCTACAAGGAAAGATTTCACTTAGGAAGCAAAAGGCACGTTTTCAGCACAAACTTTGCAGATCCTAATGCACAGGCGGTCCTATCTTTAGTTTGTGTCCGCAAAAGTCTCTGACACAGAGCCAGGGATTAGAGCATTTTTCCTATGTCACCCATGGATGTAGTTTCGTTCTGACTCCATGAAGAAGAAGGGATGGCACTGTTGGCATCTTTGAAATCCATAGAAAATAGGAACTACACAAAGCTCTCACTGAGATTAGAACAAGACACCACCCACAGGGGTTTATAATCACAGGGCATCAATAAAAAGGACAGAGAAGAAGCTGATGGGAGCCCATTTAAGACTTTTAATACTTGAAGAAGAAATTGTAGGCTTTGTCAAGGAGCCTGAAGTTCTGCAGGTAAAGCCTACACCAAGTGTTTATCAATGGTAACATAATCATGTTTGAGTTGAGAGGCACCTCAATATTGGGGGTCAAATTATAGGCAAAATCAATTTTTATAAACAAACTCATCAACATAAACCCAAACAGTATCTTAATCTAATTTCCAATGACCTATGAGACTAAGGTCACTTACTCGGGTTCATCTTAGCTGCCCCTGCCCCTTCTCTGTTTCATACCCATAGACACATAAAAACTCAATAAGTATTTTATGCACATGTACATGTTTATTGTATCATAAATATATATAGAAGGTCCTCAACTTATGATGGGTCTCCTCCAATAAACCCATCATAAACTGAAAATAGCCTAAGTCAAAAATGCATAAGGAGCCAGGAACACTGGTGGCTCATACCTGTAATCCTAGCTACTCAGGAGGCTGAGATCTGAGGATCATGCTTCAAAGCCAGCCTGGGCAGGGAAGACTTTATCTCCAACTAACTACCAGAAAACTGGAAGTATAGTTGTGGCTTAAAGTGGCACAGCACTAGCCTAAGCAAAAAAGAGCTTAGGGATATTACCCAGGCCCTGAGTTCAAGCCCCACAACTGACAAAAAGAAAAGTGAGAACTCCTAATGCACTAAACATAATAACTTAACCATTGAGTGTGCTGTAGAGTATTGGTTGTTTATTCCTGTGGTCATGTTGCTCACTGGGAGCTATGGTTTACTGCCTGCACTCAGAATTCCAAGAAAGAATGAAGGATGCCTTATATATAGCTAGCCAAGGAAAAGATCAAAAATTTAAATATGGTTTCCACTCAAAACGAATCACTTTTGACCACTGTAAAAATTGAAATTTGAAAGTCAATTATCCCACAATGACCTTGATGGAGGTAGGTAAGCAGAAAAGGAACAGGATTTCAATGAGGGCCAGAGAATAAAAGCAGCACCATATCTGAGTGCATTTTCCAAACATCCTTATCTACTACATTAGGTCCCCAAGCTCAGTCCCAGTTGGCCAGGATTGAGGGCCAATAATTATTAGCATGGTGAACAATAGTTCCTCAATAAAAGTTATGCAGAGACCTCATCTATAATCTCATCATAGCTGTGGTTTCATTACACAATTCCTTTTGAGTCACCATCTTTATTAGCTATCACGATCTCCCATCCTCTACTTCTTAAAAAACCAATTTCTTGCAAAAACTCCAACTATTTTGTGCATATCCTTAGCATTTCCATTACATTCTATCCATAAAAGTGCCTAAGACCTGGGACTTTGGATACTTGTTTTCAGGGTGAAGCTGCCTATCTTCGATCTCCTAGGGGGTGAACTTTCACTTCCAATTCAACCAATCTCACTCTGTCAGCACTCCTGTTCATTCCTGAACTTCCTTTGGCAAAACCATAACTGTCATTGGTCTCCACTGACAATATGCACCATCTGTGTGTTCCTGAGCTATTTACATTGAGCCATTTACATTGTTATTGCAAAGATTTTCCTAAAACAGCTGTTTGCAGCTAACAGCTTCCTTAACAAATTTTTATGTCGTTCAAGATTCCTTGTGGAGCAATTAGTCATAAATCTTTTCATACATTGGGAATCTTTACAAATTAAATATCTCTGATGAAAATGAACAATCACACTCTGGAAATATTGACTTTTCCAGGGTCTGTGCATTGGGGATCAGTGGTGGATTTTTGTTTTCTTTTCTTTTCCTTTCAGGCAGGAGAAAAGTTCTCAAGTTGTGATTTTTTTTTCTAGGCTTAGGCTGTCAGCTACAAAGAGAACGGAGCTCTCAAAATAACAGAGGAGTCTAGTAAAACTGAAGGGTGTGTTGAATCTGTGCCCCAAAAAGCAGAAGTGAGACAGAAACCCTTCTGGCTATGTAAACTCTGGCATTTTTAAGTTTGGCATTTCAACCAAAGATGAAACTGAGATCCCAAGAGATTATTTCCCCAAATGAAGGTTCCTGGCACCTGGTCCTTCATTTCTATTCTAGTATAACCTCTCTATCAGGAGTCTTAAGTGACACAAAGAAAAGAAACACATTACATATAGCCTTAGAAAAGCCAGACAAATGAAAGTGAAGTAAATTAAAAAAATAGCATTCTGGGGGCTAGGAATGTGGCTTAGTGGTAGAGTGCTTGCCTAGCATGCATGAAGCCTTGGTTTGATTCCTTAGTATCACATAAACAGAAAAGGCTGGAAGTGGTGCTGTGGCTCAAGTGGTAGAGTGCTGGCCTTAAGCACAGAGAGGCTCAGGGACAGAGCCCAGGCCCTGAGTTCAAGCCCCACAACCGACAAAAAAAAAATAGCATTGTTCCTTTCCGATCTGGAAGTTTCACAAGCCTACTACTACCAACTTACTCTACCAACAGGTCCCTAAAGGCAATAAAACATTGAGTCACTGACATTTTAGAAACATCAAGAGCTTCCACAAGAACCAATCTGGAAACTGAGTTTCTTGGATTGAAAGGCCACTGTGAAAAGCAAAATGGATTCATGATTCTGCGGCAGGAGTTTCAAATCGAAATAGCGCCCCTGGTGTCAGGTTATTATCAAGAAACAAGTTTTGTTGCCCTAATTGAATCATGGGTACTGAAAGTGACAATCAGGTATGCTCTTGAAAGCTGACACTGCCCACTGGAAAAGGAAAGGACACTAACCTCATGCCAGCAGCTGTACATGACCTTGTATATGGACATGGGTGCCAAGTAAGGACGATAGAGCCGGAAGCCTGAAGAAATCGCTTCCACTACTTGCAGGTTTGACTTGTTTTCAAAAGGCATTTTTCCTTCTGTAAAAACTTCCCACATTAAAACTCCTGCAAATAAAATGCACACACACACACACACACACACACACACACACACACACAATGAGGTTAGAGAGAAATGGTTAGTTGGAATTGAAATCACTGTTTGCTTCCAACTACAAAGCCTTCTTTTTTTCCTCCAGCCTTCATATGAATAACTGGAATGAGAGACTTTCTAGGGAGGAGGTAGAGCTGCACACCTGAGCTTTTGAATAGAATCGGAACTTGGAAGTAATCCCAGGAAAAATGATACCTTTCCTTTTCTATGGGTCTTGATGGCCTTTCTATTAGAAGGCAATCTTGTGGTGTTTTTACCTCTAGGTATGGCTCATGTTCCCACACCTTGAAACCAATGAATCTTCTTAGCATTCCATAGAAATAATAGATTTGTGAGAACCTCTGCTGCCTGCAAAGACTAGCGTTTCTCAGCCACTAGAGGTCCTCCTCCACCTCCACCACCTCTCGAGGACTGGTCTGATGGGTAGCTAGCTAAAGCTCTGTACATAAGTAGGTGCTTAGTAATCATTTTTTGATAGGACAGTTAAACTCCTTCAGATACTTCCAGTTTGAGTTCATTTAATTACTCCCTAGTTCTATGGGTATTTATTTGGTATGGGTTAGAGACAAGACCTTGTCCAGGTAAGAAGAGAGACAAGCAAAATGCAGGCATTCTAATTGTTCTATTACCACATGAGGAGATCTTGAATTACAATCCATATGGTCTGTAACAGAGCTTAAAATTTCACCTGATGACACTATGATAAATGAGTGGAGAACAAATCAGATCAATGAGATCAGCTTCATCATATTTGGGACAATAAAATTCATATTCTCATGAAAGCCTAGATGTCTCTTCAATCCTAAAAGCCATCTAGGAAGTTCTTGATGAAAAGCAATAGACTTTTGCACATTTATTACCTAGTTTTGAAGGATCAACTCAAATAACTATGTTGCACTTCCAACTACAGTTTCTCTTTCACTTTCACCCAACATAAGTGTTGATCAATAAGTACATGCCAAGGAAGCCTATCCCTAAGTTCTATCCAAATTAAAAGTAATGAATGATTGAACTAGTTCCAAAACCCATGTCCTACACTTAAGTTATCATGAGAAGAGTTGAAAATAGCTAAACTGCTTAGTAGTTAAATAATGTTTACTAAATACACTATGCTGATATAGAATCATTCTTCCTTCAATCCTCTTTGATATGAGGTAGTTGGTTGACTTTATTTTCTAGATCAGTAGATTCTTTGTTATAGTTTTACAATGAGTGATCAGCGGTAAAGAAAAAGATCCAAAAGAAAGACTAATATAAGAAGTATAAGACACTAGTGGCCAAAAACAATTTGGATGTGAAAAATAGCAAGGTTATAAGAAGATTCTTTAGAAGCTGGAATATAGTAAGAAATCAAGATTAAAAGAAAAGATTGTTGTGTTTAATCAAGCTCCACAAAAACATCAAATGTACTTACCAAATGACCAGACATCTGATTTACTGCTATATTTGTTGAAATGAAGGACTTCAGGAGGAGACCACCTGATTGGGAACTTGGCTCCAGAAGAACTGATATATTCATCATCCAAAACATACCTAGAGCCATCAGATTTGAATGATTTACTTCAAATCCTTTTAGTTAACAGAGAATTGCTTAAAATATAAAGACTAGATATTTTTCCCCCAAAAAAGATTTGGTACACCTGTTCTCATTCACAGTGTAAAATTAGTGTTTACAGTGGTTCCTCTTCAAACCAAGTGTCTCTGTACTTATTTTCATCGAGTCTCAGAAAACTTTATTTGTTTTTCAGACTAAAATATGGCCCATTGCCAATGCTCAGTAGTGAGGATTCTGTAAAGAAGCATATTGTATGCTGTAGCAATCACAGTTATAAAATGAAAGTGAAAAATATGCCATTCTTCTTGCACAAGAAATAATGGATTCAAAGTCAGATACCATATTTTCTTTCATGTACATACTTTTGTGGTGGCAAAGATAAGAGAGAAAATAAAAGTATATAAATGTCATAATCCTGATATAAAAATATCTCTAACACTTTACAATGGTCTTTGTAAAAAAAAAACAAATTGGAAACAACCATCATCTCCTTAAAAATGAACAGAAATATGAAAGCTCTTATTATTTTGAAAATTGTAGACAGAAAATTTCAATTATAGGAATGTGGAGAGAAGAGACAACTAACTTAGGCCTGTTGCTTTTTTGAGTATACTGGAGAGTATTTTAAAATATTTATTAATGCTGGCCCCACACAGCCACTGTTTACCACACATATTCTATCTAACTTCACCTTTAAGTCATCCATTACTGAAAAAGAGATCATTCTACTTAGATGAAGAATGAATATAGGAAATAAATGGGGCAAAGCTGTTCTCCATAGATTTGGAATTCCTATAGTTCAGAGAAGGACTAAGAAGCAATTTAGGGAAATAAGTCTTAAATAAGGAAGCTTTTTATCATCATCTGTCCATCTAGAAAGAAAACAAAAAGTCCAGGAAAGAGAAAGGGAGAAATGAAAGGGAAAGGGAAAGAATACTAGACATGGATTATTTGCTAAATGGAGGGAGGGCCTGTGCCTTGTACGCTCTAAGGGCTTCCCAGGTCATAGGGGACGGCAGGAAGCTTCCATCCCATGTGACCTTGGCATAACTCAAGGTCAAAAAATATTGCTCTCTTTCTAGGTAGAGTACCAAGAAAGACAGAAAGCTTTGGAAGAACAAATAAATGGCTGTGGATGCGTCTATGTGAGTGGAACCTTAGTTAGCCTGTGTAGATTTCTAATCACAGAGAAGACTAATTCCCCCACACAGAAATCTGAGGTGAATCAGATGTTACCTGTGTGGTTGGCCAAACACATCCAAGACAAGGCAGTGGCTACAATGATGTCAGCGTGCACACATTCCAATGAGAACAGACCAGCCCCTTCCCAACAGTGCTTCTTTAGATGCCCCCCAAACTGAGACCAATGCTGAGGAAATTCAGGGTTCACTAGGACTAAGTTTCTGCTACTCCAGAGAAAAAAGAACACCCAGCGTTTTGAACATAGTTTTCCTTTTACTTAAAAAAATATACATTTATCAGAAAAAAATGCTTTCTTAGTCATACACATATGAATAGACTGACTTGTTCATTTTAAGGTCTACCACAATTTTAAAGATAAATATCTGAAACAAAAAGATGAGAATATCTCACAGAGACCATCTGCCTTGTAGCTAAAATTCTCAGATTTTCCAAACTTCAGAGTAAGCCAGTTTAGTCATGAAACTACACTAGCATTTTCCCCAGAGCAAGCACACACAGCTAGTAGTGTCATCAGCAAGTCAATAGACAAATAGCTTATGAGTAGACATGGTATATCTAGCTACACATCAATATGGCATACCTGGTCATTCCAAAGTCTGAAATTTTTACTATACACGTAGAACTGACCAAACAATTCCTTGCTGCCTATAGAAAGAAGAAAAGAATACACGTTTGAATATAGGCTTTTCTTTGAAGACCTTTTTTAACCCCCCTCTTCTTAGTTTATTTGAGACCTGCATTGTCTATCTCTGTGGACAGACATGTGATCTTCATGTTGACAACTATCAGTGAGTAATACATATATAAATACATATGTATAAATTATATCTGTTATTTATCATGCATATTATATATCATAATATGATATAACATTATATTATATACAAATACATTCTTATGTAGTATATATCTGATTTCATAATCTTAGTGTGATGAGTTTTAATGATTCATCAATGTAATAAAATGTTCAAAATAATGAAACTTTTACTTTTAAAACGTTTACTTTTTCTCAAGAAATATTCTTGATAAATGTCTCTGAAAAAGCAATAGTATGCTGAACTCCATACTGGCCAGGCACTGTTTGTGTATTTGCACTAAGAATTTGTGCAATCCTTCTAACAGACCACATGAGGGCTCAGCTACAGTTAACCTCTCCTTGCCGGTTATATAGCTTGTCCAGGGTCACACAGCTTGTAAGAAACAGAGGCAAGCTTTCAACCTGAGAATTTCCTTCTGGAGTCATGAGTCTCAACTTCAACTATAGATGGGACTCACCAGAAAAAACAATTGAAATATTGATGCTTTGCTTAGAGAGAGCTAGAGATATGGTTTAGTGGTTGAGTGCTGAAGATGCTGATTTAATTGGTCTGGGGTGTGGTCTGTGTTGTAAGTTTTCTCAAAGCTCCCAAGTGATTCCAACACACAGCAAACTTTGATGCTCAAATACCTTTGCTCTGCAACCTGTGTTCTTAGCAGGCTGCAAGGCAGAAGTTTAAACCTTGATCTCGTAGTATACATGTAGTCAAATGTAACCAATGAATTGTTATATGAAGCAGTGAACAGTACCATGAGAATTCCAAGTCACACCAAGAATAATTTTTAATGCCAGAACCAATATAACTGTGCCTCCCCTTTTCTCCCTAGAATATCTGGCTTAAATGAGGAATATTGTAATTGATCACTCTGGGTCATATAGGATCCAAGCACAGAGTTATTTCCAGGTATTAAAGGTTTCTTAAAAAATTCTTTTTTAAAACCAGTTGTTTAAGGATACAGGTGGA